CATCATAATCATCTTCATCATCACCACCATCGTCATCATCAGTTTTCTAATGCGTCCTAATTAAAGTGCGTTTGCGTTGTCGACTCTTATTGCGGAGTTCGCCGAAATGCAGTGATCGACATAGGGTAGTATAAATCAATAACCCCTTAACACATATGGCTTTGACGGTTTGTTCCCATTGTCACCACCCTCTTCTCAGCTTCCCAAATCGTCACTTTTCCCTCGTGCCACTTAATCAACTGCAAAAAGCGTTCCACAGCGGCAAAAATAATTCAAGTGAAAACGTGGCAAATTAACTTGCGCATTTTATGAGGCATCTAAAGACTATCAGCGTTTTCAAAAAGATTCTGGCCGGCTGGCCGTTTTGTTCATACACCATCCGGGAATCGTAGTTGCTAAAACTCTATACATCTCCTGGGACGTTGGAAATCACGTTTTATTCAATAGTTCCAAAACCGCTCTTTGCATTTTCATTCTCACTCCATTTATATTTTGATTCTACCCAAGTGCATTCCACATACTCTGTTTCCCTTCTTGGATTACCTATAACTTCTTATTTATGCTGGTGTCCTTTCATAGTTAAGCTTTCTTCTCGTGTTGCACGCAAGATTGGATTTCTGTTTCGTGCCAGACGCTTTCTCACCCCAGCTCATCTTCTTTTACTGTACAAAGCTCAGATCCGCCCTGCTCTTGAATACTGTAGTCACGTATGGGGTGGGGCTTCGTCTTCTTCTCTTTCCCTTCTTGATGGTGTTCAACGACAGGCCATCCGGCTAATCGATGACCCTTCTCTAACATCCAGTCCACAGTCGCTAGCCCATCGTCGAGCAGTTGCTTCATTGTCCCTGTTCTATCGTTACTATTTTGGTTTTTGTTCTTCAGAACTTGCCTCGGCAGTTCCTCTTCCTGCAACTTTTACCCGATCATCCCGTACGCATGCATCTAGTCATCCTTATGAGATTCCTGTTTCCAGATGTACTCCTCTGCTCTAATCTTCTTTTTTCCCGAACTGCCAAGCTGTGGAACACTCCGTTTTTCCCCCGACACTTTTTAAACGCAGAATCAATAAACTGGATCTTAGGTGAATGTTCCCATACTCTCCCTTTTACACTATGCTGTTTGTCTATGGGGATTTCCCTTTTTATTGTGATTCACTTTATGTAATAAGAAACAAATAAATTTTTTCGTTAGCCAATGCATGTCAGCATGCAGGGGATATTAACAAATGCTGGTACATTTTTTCTCTTACTCTGCACGAAAATGATAGTTAAAAAGTAAGGGCAGTAGTCGGTCAGTAAATACACCTGTTCACACAATCAGAGGGTGGTTCCAAAACAAATCCCATATCGCTTCATCGTGGTCATAACAAGTTGGGGCTTGTTCGTAACGGGTTATGATAAGAGTAGGCTACTTAACTATCAGTATATCTGAATTGTATTGGATGAGACGCAGCTCTGCATGATAGCTCTAAAAGTGTGAGCTATCTAATGAAACAGTCAGTTATGTTCGGACGATGATTGTCGTGCGATGCACGTCATCATAACATCGGCCCGGGTCTTGTTTTCGTTCTAATTATTCAACCGCCGTTCACCTAGGTAGGTCACCTAATTGTCGAAAACCCTTACAGCATAGCTTGGTTAGGGTGAAAGATCACTATTATTCTAACACGACGAGGCTGCACCTCATTGTGATGTGATGGCTTTGCTTTTTTCATTACCCTTCAAGTTAAGCACGAAAAATTTCTACATCCATAGATCCAATCATGTCGGAAAGAAACACGAGGGGCAGTTTACCAGTCGAATCNCCAATCCCCCCCCCCCCCGGCTAGATGGATGTAGAACGACTGCCGCCCGCCCTAGCTAGGCAACCCCAGCCAATAAGGTGCTGTCACCTCCACCTTTCGCAATGGATTCGTGAAACTCGGAGTTAATCCAGAAAGACGGAATTATAACGAGCTCATCAGCGGGTTACAGAAAATCGGAAATTCTAGGGCCTCACATGATAAGTTCACAGAGCCCCACCCCACGAGTGCTTTTGTCATGATGTCGCGTTGCATNCACCGTTTTGTGGGTTATACTCTTGAATCGAAGGTTTTGGTCAGAGTTCTCAAAGAAAAATCTTTCGCCGGTGGGGTTACTGCGAATTATGCCATATCATAATATCTCAGATGTCCATTTAGAAAACGCTCTTTCTAATCCCTCTGGTTCCTTCTTTCATTGCCAAAACACACGAGATAGGTAGACTAGGTGTCTCCCGCCTTCTAGGTTGGCGTCCAAAAGACTGCAACTAGTTGGTTGGAAAAACTGAAAGCTATGGCAACTAAGTGACAGCAGTGGCTTTCTTATTGTTATTTCTCATCAGGTCAGAATACTTGAAAACGTATGTATGCACAATTAGGTTGTGCACTGCGTGTTGACCATAGAAGTTCACTTTCTACTGCCCTCACTGCAACTAGGTCCAGTTCATATCCAGCTTGTACTTACTCACTTTGTGTACATTGTGAACTTGGCAGCGATCGGCGAAGTTCGTTCCACTGTACCTCGCTGTAAGATAATGATGATGGGGGCGGTGGTGGCGTGGCTCGAACTCAGGACCTCAGGTCACTATTTTAATTAACTTAAACGCTTGATTACCGGGGACCGTTTGAATAAATATCGTCTGAGAATCACAGACGAATTACCTTATCATCTCAAAGCTTCCTCGTCAAGTATTTGTCACACGCGAACGTTGCACTCGCGAGAACCAGGCTAGTTCTAGATCGGTTTGGTTTTTCATAGAGGTGCATTTAGAAATTTGCTCACCCCGAGTTCAAATTTATTCTTCTTTTGTCAGGGGCTCGTGTATTTCAGCTTGTTTTTTTCGATTTTTGATCGGAACATTTGTTGGACATGATCTGTCAGGTCATCATCCGAAACTAAATTGGTCCAACCCGGATCAGATTACGGCTTAATTTGATTTTTTATCTTTTTATGAAACCCAAACCTCGCAAACACAATGCCTCACATGATTCTCTGACACAAAGAGAGAGATATTTTGCAAGTTATCACTATCACGTTCTCATTTTCGCTACCTGTGATCACTGTATCCAGAAAATCATTCATCAAAAAGTTTTGCTATGCCTCGAGTACAACACAAGTGTTTAATTTCTTTCTATTGCTTTCTATAGAATATAAAGTTAATTTGATTACTTAATTAGTCGTTTCAGCGGAAATCTAAGTGGACATTTCTATCCTGGTTTTTCTTGTAACCATTCTTATTATGTAATCTTAATGTGCAATACTTGCGGAACATATGAGTCAATTTACCAGCCAAAACCATGTTGCTCTGACGGTCAGGTACCTCAAGTGACGATTATTCCACGC